TCACCTCACTCTGCACATTCCATGTGCCTTCCTTCCCCTCACCTCACTCTGCACATTCCATGTGCCTTCCTTTCCCTCACCTCACTCTGCACATTCCATGTGCCTTCCTTCCCCTCACCTCACTCTGCACATTCCATGTGCCTTCCTTCCCCTCACCTCACTCTGCACATTCCATGTGCCTTCCTTTCCCTTACCTCACTCTGCACATTCCATGTGCCTTCCTTCCCCTCACCTCACTCTGCACATTCCATGTGCCTTCCTTCCCCTCACCTCACTCTGCACATTCCATGTGCCTTCCTTTCCCTTACCTCACTCTGCACATTCCAATGTGCCTTCCTTCCCCTCACCTCACTCTGCACATTCCATGTGCCTTCCTTCCCCTCACCTCACTCTGCACATTCCATGTGCCTTCCTTTCCCTCACCTCACTCTGCACATTCCATGTGCCTTCCTTCCCCTCACCTCACTCTGCACATTCCATGTGCCTTCCTTCCCCTCACCTCACTCTGCACATTCCATGTGCCTTCCTTTCCCTCACCTCACTCTGCACCTTCCATGTGCCTTCCTTCCCCTCACCTCACTCTGCACCTTCCATGTGCCTTCCTTCCCCTCACCTCACTCTGCACATTCCATGTGTCTTCCTTCCTCTCACCTCACTCTGCACATTCCATGTGCCTTCCTTCCCCTCACCTCACTCTGCACATTCCATGTGTCTTCCTTCCCCTCACCTCACTCTGCACCTTCCATGTGCCTTCCTTCCCCTCACCTCACTCTGCACCTTCCATGTGCCTTCCTTCCCCTCACCTCACTCTGCACCTTCCATGTGCCTTCCTTCCCCTCACCTCGCTCTGCACCTTCCATGTGCCTTCCTTCCCCTCACCTCACTCTGCAGATTCCATGTGCCTTCCTTCCCCTCACCTCACTCTGCACATTCCATGTGCCTTCCTTCCCCTCACCTCACTCTGCACATTCCATGTGCCTTCCTTCCCCTCACCTCGCTCTGCACCTTCCATGTGCCTTCCTTCCCCTCACCTCACTCTGCAGATTCCATGTGCCTTCCTTCCCCTCACCTCACTCTGCACATTCCATGTGCCTTCCTTCCCCTCACCTCACTCTGCAGATTCCATGTGCCTTCCTTCCCCTCACCTCACTCTGCACATTCCATGTGCCTTCCTTCCCCTCACCTCACTTTTCACCTTCCATGTGCCTTCCTTCCCCTCACCTCACTCTGCACCTTCCATGTGCCTTCCTTCCCCTCACCTCGCTCTGCACCTTCCATGTGCCTTCCTTCCCCTCACCTCACTCTGCAGATTCCATGTGCCTTCCTTCCCCTCACCTCACTCTGCACCTTCCATGTGCCTTCCTTCCCCTCACCTCACTCTGCACCTTCCATGTGCCTTCCTTCCCCTCACCTCACTCTGCACCTTCCATGTGCCTTCCTTCCCCTCACCTCACTCTGCACCTTCCATGTGCCTTCCTTCCCCTCACCTCACTCTGCACATTCCATGTGCCTTCCTTCCCCTCACCTCACTCTGCACCTTCCATGTGCCTTCCTTCCCCTCACCTCACTCTGCACCTTCCATGTGCCTTCCTTCCCCTCACCTCACTCTGCACCTTCCATGTGCCTTCCTTCCCCTCACCTCACTCTGCAGATTCCATGTGCCTTCCTTCCCCTCACCTCACTCTGCACATTCCATGTGCCTTCCTTCCCCTCACCTCACTCTGCACATTCCATGTGCCTTCCTTCCCCTCACCTCACTCTGCACATTCCATGTGCCTTCCTTCCCCTCACCTCACTCTACACCTTCCATGTGCCTTCCTTCCTCTCACCTCACTCGGCACATTCCATGTGCCTTCCTTCCCCTCACCTCGCTCTGCACCTTCCATGTGCCTTCCTTCCCCTCACCTCACTCTGCAGATTCCATGTGCCTTCCTTCCCCTCACCTCACTCTGCACATTCCATGTGCCTTCCTTCCCCTCACCTCACTCTGCACATTCCATGTGCCTTCCTTCCCCTCACCTCGCTCTGCACCTTCCATGTGCCTTCCTTCCCCTCACCTCACTCTGCAGATTCCATGTGCCTTCCTTCCCCTCACCTCACTCTGCACATTCCATGTGCCTTCCTTCCCCTCACCTCACTCTGCAGATTCCATGTGCCTTCCTTCCCCTCACCTCACTCTGCACATTCCATGTGCCTTCCTTCCCCTCACCTCACTTTTCACCTTCCATGTGCCTTCCTTCCCCTCACCTCACTCTGCACCTTCCATGTGCCTTCCTTCCCCTCACCTCGCTCTGCACCTTCCATGTGCCTTCCTTCCCCTCACCTCACTCTGCAGATTCCATGTGCCTTCCTTCCCCTCACCTCACTCTGCACCTTCCATGTGCCTTCCTTCCCCTCACCTCACTCTGCACCTTCCATGTGCCTTCCTTCCCCTCACCTCACTCTGCACCTTCCATGTGCCTTCCTTCCCCTCACCTCACTCTGCACCTTCCATGTGCCTTCCTTCCCCTCACCTCACTCTGCACCTTCCATGTGCCTTCCTTCCCCTCACCTCACTCTGCACCTTCCATGTGCCTTCCTTCCCCTCACCTCACTCTGCACCTTCCATGTGCCTTCCTTCCCCTCACCTCACTCTGCACCTTCCATGTGCCTTCCTTCCCCTCACCTCACTCTGCAGATTCCATGTGCCTTCCTTCCCCTCACCTCCCTCTGCACATTCCATGTGCCTTCCTTCCCCTCACCTCACTCTGCACCTTCCATGTGCCTTCCTTCCCCTCACCTCACTCTGCACCTTCCATGTGCCTTCCTTCCCCTCACCTCACTCTGCACCTTCCATGTGCCTTCCTTCCCCTCACCTCACTCTGCACCTTCCATGTGCCTTCCTTCCCCTCACCTCACTCTGCACCTTCCATGTGCCTTCCTTCCCCTCACCTCACTCTGCAGATTCCATGTGCCTTCCTTCCCCTCACCTCCCTCTGCACATTCCATGTGCCTTCCTTCCCCTCACCTCACTCTGCACCTTCCATGTGCCTTCCTTCCCCTCACCTCACTCTGCACCTTCCATGTGCCTTCCTTCCCCTCACCTCACTCTGCACCTTCCATGTGCCTTCCTTCCCCTCACCTCACTCTCCAGATTCCATGTGCCTTCCTTCCCCTCACCTCACTCTACACCTTCCATGTGCCTTCCTTCCTCTCACCTCACTCGGCACATTCCATGTGCCTTCCTTCCCCTCACCTCACTCTGCACATTCCATGTGCCTTTCTTTCCCTCACCTCACTCTGCACATTCCATGTGCCTTCCTTTCCCTCACCTCACTCTGCACATTCCATGTGCCTTCCTTCCCCTCACCTCACTCTGCACATTCCATGTGCCTTCCTTCCCCTCACCTCACTCTGCACATTCCATGTGCCTTCCTTCCCCTCACCTCACTCTGCACATTCCATGTGCCTTCCTTCCCCTCACCTCACTCTGCACATTCCATGTGCCTTCCTTTCCCTCACCTCACTCTGCACATTCCATGTGCCTTCCTTCCCCTCACCTCACTCTGCACATTCCATGTGCCTTCCTTCCCCTCACCTCACTCTACACCTTCCATGTGCCTTCCTTCCCCTCACCTCACTCTGCACATTCCATGTGCCTTCCTTTCCCTCACCTCACTCTGCACATTCCATGTGCCTTCCTTCCCCTCACCTCACTCTGCACATTCCATGTGCCTTCCTTCCCCTCACCTCACTCTGCACCTTCCATGTGCCTTCCTTTCCCTTACCTCACTCTGCACCTTCCATGTGCCTTCCTTCCCCTCACCTCACTCTGCACCTTCCATGTGCCTTCCTTCCCCTCACCTCACTCTCCAGATTCCATGTGCCTTCCTTCCCCTCACCTCACTCTGCACATTCCATGTGCCTTCCTTCCCCTCACCTCACTCTGCACATTCCATGTGCCTTCCTTTCCCTCACCTCACTCTGCACATTCCATGTGCCTTCCTTCCCCTCACCTCACTCTGCACATTCCATGTGCCTTCCTTTCCCTCACCTCACTCTGCACATTCCATGTGCCTTCCTTCCCCTCACCTCACTCTGCACATTCCATGTGCCTTCCTTCCCCTCACCTCACTCTGCACATTCCATGTGCCTTCCTTTCCCTTACCTCACTCTGCACATTCCAATGTGCCTTCCTTCCCCTCACCTCACTCTGCACATTCCATGTGCCTTCCTTCCCCTCACCTCACTCTGCACATTCCATGTGCCTTCCTTTCCCTCACCTCACTCTGCACATTCCATGTGCCTTCCTTCCCCTCACCTCACTCTGCACATTCCATGTGCCTTCCTTTCCCTCACCTCACTCTGCACATTCCATGTGCCTTCCTTCCCCTCACCTCACTCTGCACATTCCATGTGCCTTCCTTCCCCTCACCTCACTCTGCACATTCCATGTGCCTTCCTTTCCCTTACCTCACTCTGCACATTCCATGTGCCTTCCTTCCCCTCACCTCACTCTGCACATTCCATGTGCCTTCCTTCCCCTCACCTCACTCTGCACATTCCATGTGCCTTCCTTCCCCTCACCTCACTCTGCACATTCCATGTGCCTTCCTTTCCTTGCCTCTTCTTCACGTCGTTCTCTCATGGTCTCACCACCTCCCTTCCCCCTCTTCTTCCTCTCATGACTCCTCTCCCACAAAAGCACGAATGCATATCTCTCCTATTTCTTTGAGACTTCTGGTTGACAGTAGCAGAAACGCTAGAGCACACCTTTCCAACCGAATGCACTATTCCCCAGTTGTTCCCTTATCCCCTAGTATCATCCTACCATCCCTTTTCTCCCACGTGTCCCCTTACTCCTTCTGCCCCCCTCCCGCCAGGCGAAGCTGGGTTCCATTCCGGACAAAAGCGGGCGTGTGGAGGCCATAACGCTGCTCCTCTGCACCACTCTGCATCTCCCCGCCACTCCCACCCACTTATCCCTCTATCCCCCTAATCTTTTGCCCCCCTCCCGCCAGGCGAAGTTGGGGTCCATGTTGGACAAGAGCGAGCGTATAGAGGCCATAACGCCGCTCCTCTGCACCGCTCTGCACCTCTCTCCATCGGACTCCGCCGCGGTGCAGCAGGCAGCGCGGCTGTGCATGGCAGACCTTGGGAGTGCCGTGGTGATGGAATTTACTGGACTGGCGGGGATCATGGGGCAGCATTACGCCGAGAGAGAAGGGTTAGGGGAGGAGGTGAGTGATTGTGTGTGTGTTGCTGCTGTGATATAAGCCCCAGCCACGGCTGTGCATGGCAGACCTTGGGAGTGCATGGCAGACCTTGGGAGTGCATGGCGGACCTTGGGAGTGCCGTGGTGATGGAGTTTACTGGACTGGCGGGGATCATGGGGCGACATTACACAGAGAGAGAAGGGCTGGGGGAGCAGGTGAGTGCGTGCGGGTGTGTGTGGAGAACAGAAGGGCTGTTGCTGTGATGTGATGCAAGCAAGAGTCCCGGCTTCAGCTGTGCATGGCGGACCTTGGGAGTGCCGTGGTGATGGAATTCACTGGACTGGCGGGGATGATGGGGCGGCACTACGCAGAGAGAGAAGGGCTGGGGGAGGCGGTGAGTGCGTGCGGGTGAGAACAGGAAGGTTGCTGCTGTGCCCAGTTACACCTCCCTGCTATGAATCCCACATTCCCGTTTTCCCTCCCTCTTGCCTCCTCTCCACACCCCACACCCCCTTCCTCCTCAGGTGAGCAGAGCAATTTTCGAGTGTGTGCTGCCGCGCTCAGCAGGCGACCAGCTGCCAGAAACAGCCCCTGGCCTCGTGCTCTCGCTCGCCACCAGGTGTGCCTCTCACTCCCCGCCCCTCTCTCGCTTGTTTTGAGACATCTCAAGGCGCGCTCATCAGGTGACCAGCTGCCCACCACAGCCCCTGGCCTCGTGCTCTCGCTCGCCACCAGGTCAGTTTAGGTTCGGCATTTCATCGTCGACTGTGTGAACCGTGACAATTGGTCTCGTGCTCTCCCTCCCGCACCGCCCTCAACACCTCTCCACCGTCCGCAACCCCCACCTCTTCCCACTCCCTGCTCCACCGCCCTCAACACCTCTCCTTACTGTTACCATTACCATTTCCATTACCATTTCCATTTCCATTACCATTACCATTTCCATTACCATTACCATTTCCATTTCCATTTCCATTACCATTACCATTTCCATTACCATTTCCATTTCCATGACCATTACCATTTACCATCTTCATTACCATTGCCATTACTATTATCATTATCATTATTATTTCCATTTCCATTTCCATTACCATTACCATTACCATTTCCGTTTACATTACCATTACCATTACCATTACCATTTCCGTTTTCATTACCATTACAATTACCATTTCCATTACCATTACCATTTCCATTTCCATTACCATTACCATTTCCATTTCCATTTCCATTTCCATTATTATTACCATTACCATTACCGTTACCATTACCATTACCATTACCATTACTATTACCATTACGATTACCATTACCGTTACCGTTACCATTACCATTTCCGTTACCGTTACCGTTGCCGTTACCGTTACCATTACCATTACCATTACCATTACCGTTACCATTACCATTACCATTACCGTTACCATTACCATTACCATTACCATTACCGTTACCGTTACCATTACCATTACCATTACCATTACCGTTACCATTACCATTACCATTACCATTACCGTTACCATTACCATTACCATTACCACTACCATTACCGTTACCATTACCATTACCATGACCATCACCACTACCTGACAGTCTCGTGGGGCTCTTCGCCATCGGCTATGAGCCCTTCAGTGCCCGTCACACAAATACTTACATTCTGCACCCTGCTCCCTCCCGTGTTGCTTGCCCCATCAGGCTCGACAGTCTCGTGGGCCTCTTTGCCATCGGCTGTGAGCCCTCCGCATCTGCCGACCCCTTCGGTCTCCGCCGCTCCGCATACGGCCTTGTGAGCTGCCACCTCCCCAACCCACCCCTGCCCCCATCCCTGCCCCAACCCGACTCTGCCCCTGCACTCTGCTGCTGGTTGGCCTTGCCATGCTCCATCATAAAGCTCTTGCGCTCACCCTTTCCCTCTCTCACCTCCTTTCGTTCGCCTGCCTTCGCCACGTTGCATCCATGCTAACTGGCAGGTGGAGGCACTGGTAGCGAGCAACACGGATCCGCACCTCTCCTCCTAACCGCGTTTCACCCCTTTTCACCTCCTCTCACCACGTTGCATGCTGGCTGGCAGGTGGAAGCCCTGGTAGCGAGCAACACGGATCTGCATCTTTCCACGGCCCTGCAGGCAGCAGCTTCTGTGCAGCCTGTGGAGGTCTCCCCCGGCACACTGGAGCAGGTGAGGTGATTGCCTTGTCAGCAAGTGTGCTGGTTGCACAGGTGGGCTGCTTGTCAGTAAGTGTTGCTTCCCATCACCCTGCAGCGTCCGTACAGCCTGTAGAGGTCTCCCCCGCCACACTGGAGCAGGTGAGGCGGTGGCTTAGAATTGGTAACACCCATCAGCACTCCACAGCATCCGTGCAGGCAGCCGCGTCCGTGCAGCCTATAGAGGTCACCCCTGCCACACTGGAGCAGGTGAGGTGGTGCCTGAGAGTCGACAATACCCGTTCACAGCACAGCACAGGCCCCTCCCCACGGCCCTGCAGGCAGCTGCATCCGTGCAGCCTGTAGAGGTCTCCCCTGCTACACTGGAGCAGGTGAGGCGGTGGCTTAGAATTGGTATCACCCATCAGCACTCTGCAGCATCCCTGCAGGCAGCAGCGTCTGTGAGGTCAATCCTGCCTCACTGCAGCAGGGGAGGAGTTGGTTGATGGTAGAGTGGTGATCCCCATCAGTACTCAGCAGCATCCCTGCAGGCAGCAGCATCCCTGCAGGCAGCAGCATCCCTGCAGGCAGCAGCATCCCTGCAGGCAGCAGCATCCCTGCAGGCAGCAGCGTCCGTGCAGCCTGTGGAAGTCACTCCTGCGTCACTGGAGCAGGTGAGGTGGTGGTTGACAAGTGTTCCTGCAGCAGCATTGGTCCATGCACGCAGTAGCATCCCTGCAGGCAGCAGTAACATTTCCTGGTGGGCCGCGGGGCTGTAGCGTAGGCGGTGGTATTGGATGCCCACATTCCCGTATAAACTCCCACCTACTCCCTCTCACTGTCTATCCCAACACTTTTCGGTCCCCGCACTTAACCTATGCAGGTGCAATCCTTCATAGTGCGCCGGCTGGAGCAGTTGCTGGTGGACGGCGGGGCGGCCGTGGAGGCAGTGCGAAGTGTGCTGGAAGAGCGGGGCTCCGTGCCAGCCCTCGCTGCACGATCCGTGGCAGAGGTGAGAGACATCTTTTGAGCTGCCGTCCAAGCCAAATCTGCCCCTCTGCCTTGCGAACACGCTTCTAGCACTCGGGCGTTTCGCAATGCACACACGGCAGAGCAAGTGCATGTGCCCTAGGAATCTTCAACAGCACACCTCGAAAGAGTCGATCTGAATCCCAGATCTCAAGGTAGCAACGTGCCATTCGTGTTTGATTACTCTCTTCTGCTCCCTGTCATTGACTCACTGTGCACGTAAAACACCATTGCACTACTGCTTGCTCTGATACCAGATGGAGGAGCTGCAGGCGTCCGGGCAGCTTGAGAAGATCGTGGCAGCGTATGCGCGGCCAACGAGGATTGTACGCGGCAAGGAGGTGGATTTGGAGTGGCAGGTGAGATCTTTAAAACAACTTGGCTCTGACAGTCTGGTATGCTGTGGCATCCCCCTGGGATTGTGAAAGATGTTTTGGAGTGTGGTGCATCCAGCATGATGTTGAGGATGGGGTTGAGCATGGCATGGAGCAGCACCTGGGTGTGGGGTGGCTGGCATGCATGCATGCATATGCAACGCACTGGAGTTGTAGCGTGATTCCCCAAGTGCTGTGCATGCAGAATGATGTTGAGCATGACGCGGAGCAGCACCAGTCTGTGGGCTCGCATGCATGTGTGCACGCGCAGCATCTTGGAATCTTTAATGGGAAGTGTTTTGCATGCAGGCAGAATGACGCTGAGCTTTCTCTTGTGTGGTGTGCGTGGGTGGGGGGGTTTGTGTGTGTATGCACCATGAGTGCAGGTGAGGGAGGAGCTGTTTGAGTCAGACGCGGAGAAGACCCTGTGGGACGCCTTCAAGAACGTGGCACTGGAAATTGACACACAGTGGTTTGCACGCGGCAGAACGCAGAGCTCTCTCTTGTGTGCGTGTGTGTGTTGGTGGGTGCAGGTGAGGGAGGAGCTATTTGAGTCGGACGCGGAGAGGACTCTGTGGGACGCCTTCAAGAAAGTGGATGCTGAGGTCTCCAGCGGTGCGTGCTTACCGTCTCTGCACCCATGCCACGTTCCTACCAAATGCCATGAATCGCATCCATTTGCAATCATTCACTCACATTCATATCAAACTCATGATGCACTCAGCCACATACCAGCGCGTCTCTAAGTCGGTCCAGTCATTGCCATTCTCACCACAGCATACACCCCTGCCTCTCCATTTACCCTAATCATTGGCCGTCTCTTAAAACTATCCGCACCCTCTCAACAAATGCAATAGAATTTATATCCTGTGCCCTGTCTCCCACTATTGCGCCCTTTCAACACGGCATGCGTGCAGACATGAGCATCAAGGCGTTCGCCGATGCATCCATGGCGCTCATCGACCCTCTCGAAGGCTTCTTTGCGAATGTGTTTGTCATGGCGGTAAGCCAACCAATTAGCCACATGGCATGCATGCAGACATGTGTGCATCAGGGCATTTGCTGATGCATGATGCATCCATGGCACTCATCGACCCGCTCGAAGGCTTCTTTGCCAACGTGTTTGTCATGGCGGTAAGCCCACCAATTAGCCAACCAATTAGCCACATGGCATCTTATCTGTCTCCACTGCCACAGCCCACACTTCAAGCCCCACAATGCCCATCTCACACCTCACACCCAGTTGCACAATCCTCTCCGTTATGCTTGGGTTGCTGATGCTGAAATGTGTCTGTCACGTTCTGTAAGCTGGAGGTTGCCCTCGTGCGTGGTTTTGAGACAACCCGATTCTCGTCTGCATTTCATGGTTTTGACACACTCCGGACCTCGCCGGGATGTGTGGGACGGGGGGTGCAGGAGGAGGAGCAACTGCGCAAGAACCGCTTGGGGCTGCTCACCAGGATTGCGAGACTGCCGGAAGGCATTGCTGATCTCACTGTGCTGCCTGGGTTCTAGAGCTTGCAAGCTGGCATGGAGGCTGGCGTACAGGTGTGCTTGCATTGCAGCCTTGCGTTCAGGCTTGCGTTGCGTGCTGCCTTGCCAGCTCAGTTGACCCTTGGAGAGAATTAGAGAGCTGGATATAGAACTAAGGAGTGTTACAGGCATGTGACTTGCTACATTGGCCAAGTCCATCCTTGATCTCAATACGGTAGCTGCTTCTTTGTAAGGCTTCTTGGGACATTTCTGTATATAAACTCACAGGCTCAATACCGGACAGCCTAGCAAGCCCACATGGAATAGAGCCTCATGACACCAAGGGCGAATCGGGAATACTGGTATTCACTTCATCCCTCAACATTGCACGACTAGCATGGCCTGTTTGGCTGCACTAAGGGTACATTCCGCTGTGGACATGCGTCCCAATCGATGTGTCCCAATCGATTCTACCGCACTGAATCTTATTACACCGAATTACACCCTAGTTTCAAAATTTTCGCTTCTCTGGTTTAGTGCGGTTCGGAGCGGTACACCCGATTGGGACACATCGATTGGGACGCATGTCCATAGCGGAATGTACCCTAAACCCTAACCATAACAACACAGGAAGGCGCATTGTAAGTAAAACAAAGAAGTTCAGCATCACCACGCCAAGCTGCGCCTGCATGGCATGGTGCATTCACCCAAGGATTTATTGGTACCGCATCTATATACCGTAAGAAAAAGAAAAGGATCACTCGGGCTTGAAGTCAGCGAGCACGGGGTGCGACTCCCAGTTGGGGTCGTCAGCGGCGAGCAGGTCGATGTACTTCTGCATCGCCTCCTCCGCCGACATGCCCTTGATCGCGTTCCACGCGTCCCACTTCTGCCGCGCCTCGAATTGAATGAACAGCGGCTGCAGAGCACAAGCGCAAGAGAAGCGTCGCCAAAATGTTGGATTACGGAAGAAGGTCCTTGATGTGGGTACGTTACGACGTGATAAGACGTGGGTAGGGTAAGACGTAATCAGGAGGGTATGCTAATGAAGCCGCTCGCACAGTCGCTACGACAAAGCCATTCTCTCTTCAAACGCGATGAACAAGCACCTCCCTACGAAAGAACGACGTACCTGGGATCCTTTCACGTCGCCCTCGGTGGCCTGCTTGAAATAGGAGTAGTACTTGAGCTTCTCGTCGGTGGTCGCCTTGGGATTCGGCGGGCCATTGCGGATCAAGTACGCGGCCTTCTTGAATCTAATCTCGAGCTCCGACATGGCGACGAGGCTAAAGAAGGGGTCTCGGGGCCTCGAATGCAAGGATTCGTAAGAGAGGAACCGAGATCGAACCTGATGCTGAGTGACTGAAGAATCTGAGCAAAAATGGGCCTTCTGAACTGGAAGGGGGATTTGCGGAGGGCATGGAAGGGGTATCTGAAGGACCGCGTTTCGTGAAAGGGGGAGGGGGAATAAGGGAAGAGTGGTTGCTAGGTGTCACCCGCAACTCTGAATTTGACGGGCCGTCAATTCGCGACAGGCCTGGAGGAATCGTGATTCTGACCGACCGGGCGTCCCCCTGTTTTCGCAAACTGTCGCCGTGGTTTCATTTACGGGACTTCCGACAGAGGAATCCCGATGAACATTGGTATTGCCGTCCGTCTCAAGATTCGCCATAGTGAATCAATCCAGCCCTTTGTAATTCCGTTCCGCATAAGATTCGTTATCATATGGAAATTACAGTACCACAGCTGTTGAGTTTCAAAGCTCAACCTAGACAGCATTTATTGCAGTACCTTGACCTCACAGACAGCACGGTCGGACAACATGGCAACAACTAGACCATCAGATTGGGCTGTTCATCACCTGAAGTAGCTGCAGCTAATCCTACAGTTGACCCTAAGGCAAAAAGGGGCTGATTTATTACTGATAGCCAGCCCACAAGGTACGTACGTACCATACATCATTGCCTCGCTTTTCTACTTACCTTGATACCTAAAGGGGGTAGCCCCCACTCGTCAACCATCGACTCAGCAGCGAATGTACATGCACATCACTGACACACTTGGGGACCTATTGAACCTCAACAGACTGAGTGACGACAAGCAGTGCAGCTCTCTAAAGTGCCCCCAGCAGATATATACTTGTCACTCTCCCTGTGCGCACCACAAGTAAACCTCCGCTCCCCGCCAGCTCAGGCACCTTACAAGCCCAGCAAGGCAAGCCACCGGTGGCTGCACATGGGGGGCTCCGACTTCGAAAAGAACTCTCAGGATTCATCTCCACCGCCATTTTCTGCAATGGGCTGAAAATCCTGGTACACCACAGATGACACTTCTGTCACACCTACAAGCCGATTGATCACCGGCGGATGTACATGCGCCGCACTGATTTCAAAAAGAACTCCCAGGACTCATCTCCGAGCAGGATCATGTCGCCCTCACGGTCCTGGTACACCACAGATGACCCCTCTGTCACGGACAGCAGCGCCTCCCTCAGCTCCTGCGTCGACTGGAACCGGCTCAGATCCACCGACACACCGAACGGTGACCCCTCCACAAAGCACTTCACTCTCAAGCTCTCCTCTCCCGCCCCTCCGGTTCTTCCGGCTCCCCCTCCCCCGGCCGCCCCACCCCGTGCGCCCGCTCCCCCTGTGTTATCCGCCATGCCTGCTGCGTCTGCCGAACCTGACAGCCCCGCCAATCCCCCTCCGCCTCCCCCTGCGCCATCCCCCGCGCCCCCCATCATGCCCGCGCCTGCAGCACCGGGGGAGGAGTTGCCTGAGCGCTCAGGGCCCAGGCTGGACGGGGGGGAGCCCCCTCGTCCCCCCAAACCACCACCGCCACCACCAGCGCCGCCTCCTGCTGTCCCTGCACCGCCTGCTGCTGCTCCACCTGCCACACCACCTGCTGCTCCCATGAACCCTCCCCGTGACTGCTGCTGCTGCATCTGAGGCATCTGTTGGTTCTGCTGGTTCTGCTGCTGGTGCTGGTAAAACGGAGAGCCGCCAGAGGCCTCTCTACCCGCATCCCCAAGCCCACTCATTCGCGCACCCATCAACCCACCTAACCCTCCACCACCTCCCCCGAAACTCCCCCCGCCACCCCCGCCAGCAGCCGCGCTGCCAGCAGCAGCAAGGGACGCCATGCGCTTCCCCCCGCCCATGCCAGACGCCATGGACGCGCCATCGTCCGCGCCCCCGTCCCCCACGTCCCCCCGACTCCCTGACGGCTCTGCTGAGTCCTCTGGCGCTGCCCGCTTCCTCCCCGCCAGCCCCCCCGCCCCTCCGTACCCCCCTGGCCGGGTGCCACCCAGGGGAGGTAGCGCCTGCGGCATGTGGAAGAGGGGCGGGTGCAGGGAGGGGGGAGGCTGGGGGGGACCGCCCTGCTCCCATGCCCCCTCTTGCCCGTGACCGTCTGAGTTCACTCCCCCCATCCCCCCCATTCCCCCCCCTGCTCCCATTGGCGCTCCTGCCCCGCCTGCCCCAGGCGCTACTAGCAGCGACGGCGCGCCCATCCCCCCCACGCCGCCCGCGCCGGCGTCCCCATGCGGCGCCGCCGCGCCGTGCGCATCACCAGCTTTGTCTGTAGCGGAGGAGGAGTTGCGCATGGCCTGCTGCTGCGCGAGCAGGGCAGCAATGGACGACACTATCTGATCCCTCGACAGCCCCGCAGCCAACCCCTTGGCCACTGCGGCATTCACCAGCTGCTCCTGCACCGACCCCTTCACCACCCCAGGGACTATCTCGCTCACTGCCCCCTCGCCCTCCATCGCACCCCCCCCTTGTCCCTGCCCCTGCTGTAACGTTTGCTCCTCCTCGTCCTCCTCTTCCTCCTCTAGCTCCTCCTCTTTCTGCTCTTGCTGGTGCTGCAGCGGCGCCTGTTGTTGCTGCTGCTGCTGCTGCTGCTTCTGCCGCTGAATCTGTTGGATATGGGAGAGGAGCACGGCAGGGGTCAGCCCTCCCTGCCCTGTCACTGACGTCAGCAGTGACGCCAGCTGCGCCACGCCCGACGGACCTAGCTGCGCCAGAAGCGACGCAGGAAGCTTCGCTGCTGTCAGCGCCGCGAGACTGCTCGCGCCCACCTTCCCCTGCTCCCCCCGCCCCCTCCCCCGCCCCCGCCTACACTCCCCACCTCCCCGTCCATACTATCCTCCCCCTCGTCCCGCCCATACCCTCCCCCGTCCGCTCTCCGCTGCCCACCCCCCGCAAACCCCCCATACGCCCCGCCCGCCTGGCGGGGCGGGGAGGGCCTCCGCCAAGACCTCCCCTGCAGCCCCATGGGATCGTCTTGCGCACCATCCGCGGAACCCAGCGCGTTCCCCGCGCCCCCGCTGGAGGCGGCGGCGGAGGGCGCGAAGCCCTGCGCGGGGCGGCGGCGGAAGCCTATGAAGAGGTCCCCCGCGGTGCCCCTGTGGAAGTAGACTATGTCCCCCGGGACCAATAGCTTCTCCTTCACGAAGCGGCTCCACCCCTTGGTCAACACGTAGCTCTGACTGCTGTTCCAATACGAGTACCTGTGAGGGCAGAGGGGGGAAAGGGGGATGCGGGGCGGGGGGTGGGTGGGGAGTGGGAGGAGTGTTGAGGCGAGAAGCGGCTCCACTCCTTGGTCAACACGTAGCTTTGACTGCTGTTCCAATACGAGTACCTGCGGGGAAGGGGGGGGATGGGGGAGAGGGGGACGATGGGTGGGTGGGGAGTGGGGGAAGTGTTGAGGCTCCACCCCTTGGTCAACACGTAGCTCTGACTGCTATTCCAGTACGAGTACCTGTGTGGGCACACGGAGGTTTGAAGGTGAGGTGATCAGGGGAAGGGGGAGGTGGGAGGTGGGTTGGGTGTGTGAGGAATAGAGGGAAAGAGGGCGCGTGCGCAATGAAGGGCGCATGAGAGCGACGGGGTACAGCGAGGTGCGCATGAGCGAAAGAGAGCGCGCAAGAAGCTGTGAGTCGTACCAGAAGCGCCAGTGCTTGCCCGCCTCGTTCTCAAACGAGAGCGTCAAGGCGGGCGTGGGCAGGTTGGGGTCGAGGGGGAGGCTACGGCTAAAGCTGTGGGTATGCTTGTGGGTGTGGCCATGGGTGCGGGTGCGCATGTGGGTGTGGGCGCGGATCTCACCGGAAGCGCCAGTGTTTGCCAGCTTCGTCCTCGAAGGAGAGCGTCATGGCGGGCGTGGGCAGGTTGGGGTCGAGCGGGAAGCAGCGCTCGGCGTGCTGCTTGGGGATGACCAGTCGGTTCAGCTTCCCCACGTCACTCGGCGTCACCGCCTTCTCAAACAGATGCTCCTTCCCCGCCATGCTCACTCCCCCCCCGCCCCCGCCGCCTCCGCCCATCGCCCCGCCCATGCCTCCCCCCGTTGCGCCTCCGCCGGCTGTCCCCATCACCTGGGAGCCCCCTCCGCCGTACCCGCCTGGTCCCGCTCCTCCCCCTGCCCCTCCCCCTCCCCCGTGGAAACCCCCTCCGCCTGACTGCGCCGCGTCAGCAGCGGGGAACCCCAGCTCCCGCCCGCCGCCCATCCCCGCGCCTGCGGGAGCGCCCGCGCTCCCAACGATGCGGAGGGGCGTCCCCGCGCCGTCCTGCGCGGGGCGACCTGGGCCGAGCGGCGCAGAGGGGGAGGAACCGGCGGGGAAGGCGGAGGAGGCGGGGTGGAGATGCGCGGATGGCGGAAGCGAGAGCGGGGAATGCCCTGGGTAAGGGGGGTCGTGGGGATGCGCCTGCCCCTGCGCCGGCAGCATCAGCGCGCCCTGCCCCTGCCCGTGCTGCGCGGACGGCGCGGGGAGCGCAAGCGCATGCGCGTTGGGCTGCGCAGGCGGAGACGTGGCGGCTTCCGCGAGGTTCGCGTTGGCGAGCTCCTCGTCGAACGTGTGCTTGCGCAGCATGTCCACCAGCTGCGCGCGGGGAAGGGGAGGGTGGGTGGGGGGAGTGTGTGTGGGGGGGGAGGAAAAAAAAGGGGGAGGGGGAGCAAGGAGGAAAGAGGGGAAGTGGGAGACTAGATATGCACGAAGGGGAAAGCGATGGTACAGGAGGAGTGGGCCGGGGGCGGGAATTTGCGATTGAGGGTCGAAAGAAACGGGGAAGGAAACGGGTGTGACGCGTGGAACGAGGGCGGGAAGTGGAATTGTTCCACATAAGGGGGAGAAGAAGAAATACAGGCGCGTGGCGGAGGATGCAGGGAGGGGTGTTGAGCGGAGGAGATATCGGGGGTGGAGAGCGTAGAATCGGTGCGCGTGACGCGCCGCACCTTCTCTTTGGGCTGCGACATGATGAAGCAGATCTCAGGGTGCGACTCGGGCATGGGCCGAAAGTTCGTCATCGCGTCTCTCCCGCGGAACTTGAGCGCGGCGCGGTCGTACGCGCGCGCCGCGTCCTCCTCGCCGTTGAACGTGCCGAGCCACACGCGGCTGTGCTTCTCGTAGATCTGCGCGCCCCACCGCCCGTTGGGCTGCGGCACCACCCCGCGGTACTGCGACGACAGCATGCGGCTCGCCTCTTTCTCCACGCCCTCTTCCGAATCCTCGTCCTCTCCGCCGTCCCCGCCGTCTCCGCCCATCCCGTCCGACCCTTCCCCCCCCAGCCCCTCGTTCCCCGGTCTCTCTTCTGCGAACGAGTCGGCTCCGCGCCCCGCTGTCGCTTCTCCGCCGGCTGGCAACCGCCGCAGCCTGCGCGGGGCTGCTGTTTTCCGCCGCTGCGGGTGCTATATCCTGCGCGCCAGCGGTGGACGGCAGCTGGCGGCTCGCGCCTAGCCCTTGCCCCTCCTCTTGCCCTTGCGCGTACGCTTGCCCATGCGCTTGCCCTTGCGCTTGCACATGCGCGTGCCCCTGTGCATGTTGATGCTCGTGATCGCTGCTTCGCTGGTCGCGCTCAGTGCTGTATCCCGCCAACACAATCTTCTCCGCCTTCTCCTCCTCCGCGTGCGCCACCGCTCCCGCTACCGGTGCGGTGTTAGCCTGCGCAGCTGGCATACTGGAATTTCCGCCCATTCCTTCCTCCGCCCCTACCCCTTCACCTTCCCCTGCTTCTTTGACAAGGCCCCCATTCGCGTCTCCCCCGGCCGGAAACGCCGTTCCCTCCCCGCCCTCTTGCCCTGTCTGTTCCGCTCCGCCTGCCTCCTTATCTCCGCCACGCGCGTCATTCGCCCCTTCGCCGGGTTTCCCCGCTTCCCCCCCACCATCCGGCCCCTCATGGTCCTTCCGCCCAGTGTCCGCTATAGCATGCCCCGTTTGCGATACATGTCCCGTGTCTCCAGCGTTATCCCCTGCGCCATCTGCGCCCAACCCGCTACGGTCCTGTTCCGCCTGTTCCCCTTGGTCTGCTCTTTGCGCCTCCCCCACCTGTGGGGCGGGGGAACCCAACACACTTCCCCCTTGACCGTCAAGCGCAGCTACAGCGGGGGATCTGGGCGCAACTGCGGGGGAGTTGGGCGCAACTGCGGGGGACTTGGGCGGCGCCCGCGCGGCGGCGAGCGCCTGCAGGTGCTGCAGGCGCTGCCCTACGCGCGAAACCAAGTCGTCTGTCAATTCCATTCCCCCGCCCCCGCTGCCGCTACTGTCCTCATCGCGCAGCGACGCCAGTGCAGCCTTTAACAAATCCTTGTCAAACCCCGCCGGTAAACTGTCCATTGTTGACTAGCGTGACTCGATCGGATCGAGTACAGGGAAACGCCGTATACTAACTCTAATTAATTGCGGAAAGCGCGATGGAATTATCCAAGATGTGACGTCAACGAGAAAATACGTCCTTGCAGGCCGTGGTCCGAATCTGAAGGAGCGGGAGGCGGCAAGAAGAGGGGCGAAGGGTGTGGTGGAAGAGAGAGAAGGAAGGCACGAGTTAGGAAGATACGGAAAGAACGGCATTGCGATAAAAGCAGGACGAGAAGGACCAGAGAGTAGAACCAGGCGTCGATAAAGAAGCTCGACTGACGAGGACCGTAATGGCGGTAAGCGACGCTAACAACGTATTATTAGGTCAGGCCTCAAGTAGTAAGCTAATGCACACTAAGGGTAATCGTGAGGATAAGCGCAGTCAAGAGGCATGAAATTTAATTCATCGGTAAATGAACGAAACCCGAGAAAAGTGCAACAAACGACATAACGAATGCTCTAAGACGGCAAATCACTATCAATACAGTGGATAGACTAACGGCGGTTTACGCGGGAAAAAATGGATGGCATGTGATTCAAGTGCCTGACCTCTTGCTTCAACATGGCAGCTAGGCTCCAAGCAGCAGAACCGAGACCGAAAGGCAACAATCGATCGTTGCGACGTAGGTAGGTCACCTGGAACAGCAGGTAGGGTTTCGAGCGCATGTGAAATAGGAGCTGGGCTGGGAGCCTGGGAGGTGAGGCACCTGCCAGCCACCTGACCCCTGAGAGAAGACGCAGCAACAGACGCCCAACATGGCGCCTGCTCTCTCCGCCTGGCTGCCTGGATTCTGGTTCGCTTGAGTGCGGATATGCGGGTGAATGGGCTTGATGCATCGCGGGACGGGCAGGGGTTTGGCGCGCCAGAGCGGAGCAACGCGGGCGGACGCTATTTCAGCTCAGCAATCAAGTTGGTCAGGTTTGCGCCCTCGGAATCACTCCAGCAACGAGATTCAACGCAGTACTATGGGTTACTGAAGTTTCTTGCGTGGTGGAATGTGGTGTCAAGTCAATTGTGGGCGTCGAACCTGGATGCACAAGGGCAGCTCTGCACCAGGTGTGCGTGTAACTGTCCGACAAGGCGGAGCCTTCCCCCGAACCGTACCCTATCCCTTGGTTTTCCCGCTGCTTGCTCAAGCCACGTATGTCGCCTGACAAGCAACAGTCGCGCCCGTCTGCGTCCTCCTCCTGACGCAAGCAGGCCCGTGATAGGTCAGCGATCGCGGCTCAGCAATCAAGCGATAAGATTGACGCTGGTGCCACGTCAGTTCTGCTGGCACACATTCCAATTTGCAAGTTTCAAAGTTCAAACCACATCTGCCATACTCCAATATTGTCTCTCCAGCATTAGTATAATACTGTGAATGCAGTTTTTGCGTACCGAGATTGTATATTTTTCTGACGAGGTGTAGAGCAACACCATTTCCACCATAATAAACCAATAGACCTCACAAATTGATCTGGAAAATACTTTAATACCCCCCTTAAATTGGATTGGGAATTTCTCACTTGTATAAATCAAATTCTCCTGATGGTTGAATATAATAAATTCCTGAGAAAAGGCCCAACCAGAGAGAGAACAAGAGGCGACTAAATCGTCTTAGGGTTGCGAAGCGTTTTGCGTAAAATACATATTTACTGTACCAATAATATTTGTTAACACTATAGGTTCATCATACTATTTGGTAAGAGGTTCATCATACTAAGGTAAATTTCTGGGAAAACGGCACTCACGGGATTCATCCTAAAACCTTTCGTTCCCCGACTGACTTTCTCACCATTGCGCACAAACCACCACGTATATTTCGTACGGTATTTATTACTGAACATTATAATTTCGGCGAATTGTCCACACCCTAGGGCTTTGTCAAACAATATGTTTAATATATACCCTGCGTGCTGTAGTTACTGTAGTTATTATTATTAAGAGTTGGTGGTGCACCTTCTTTGTTGCTTTGCTATATGTACCTTGTGTGCTATAGTGAAGCCCCTCCTTCTTTCTCGTAACTCTCTTGGCACAACTCCCTCGACACCCCTTGGCCTAGGCTCCTAAGCCTAGGCCCTCCTAAACTCATACGTCCCTATCTTGACATGGTACAGAGCTGGTTCTTTCCCGGAACCTTCTCTTTTTTTTTAAGAATCATGGGCCCGCCCGTACTACAGCGCGAAATGCGCTATTTTTTTTTCTCCCCGTTCGCCCGTCACGCGCGCCCTGCCCGTCCCCCCGAACGTGCCACGTCGGCTGCCTCGCGGACGCCCCGTCGGCTGCCCCGCGGACGCCCTGCCCGTCGCCCGCTGCCCCCCCGTTTCGTCGCCACGCGGCCCCCATTTCGTCGCCACGCGGCCCCCGTTTCGTCGCCCCCGTCACCCCGCAATCCGCCAGCGCGGAGGCCAGCGCCGCGGCCAGCCGCCAGCGCCAGCAGCAGCTACCGCCGCCCCACCCCCCCCGCCCTCCCTTCCGCGGCTTCCGTCGTGGGGAGGGGGGAGGGAGGGGGAAGGGGTTGTGGGGGGGGGGGCGGGTGTGAGGAGCCTGCCACTCCTCCCTCCCTTCCCTCTTCCTCTCTCCCTGCAGCAACTGTTGCTGTAGGGGGGGGGAGAGAAGTGCAGAAGGGTGAGGGGGTGGCGGGAGAAGACAGGTGCGGAAGGTGTGAGGTTGACAGGGTTGAGTGACGAGGGGGGTGAGGACTAAGGGGTTCTTAACGGGGGGGGATCGCATTGAGCGTGCGCGCTCATGCCCGCCTAGCCCACCTCCTCTCCTCATCGGGACTTGGGGGTTCTTAACGGGGGGGGATCGCTATGAGCTTTCGCGCTCAAGCCCGCCTAGCCCACCTCCTCTCCCTTCCCTCTCTCACCTCCCCTTTGTAAAAGGAGGTTCGTAAGCGGGTCCGCCGGTCCTGGCCCCCCACCTCCTCTCCTCTCCTCTCCTCTCCTCTCCTCTCCTCTCCTCTCCTCTTCTCTCCTCTCCTCTCACCTTCCTCACTTCTCTGCCTTCTTCCACAGCGCTTGGTTTGCTCGTTCAGGGGGTGCTGGCTGCACCAGTTTCTACCGCACGCAGGCTAAGGGGGTGTGTCAAACAATATGTTTAATATATACCCTGCGTGCTGTAGTTACTGTAGTTATTATTATTAAGAGTTGGTGGTGCACCTTCTTTGTTGCTTTGCTATATGTACCTTGTGTGCTATAGTGAAGCCCCTCCTTTCTCGTAACTCTCTTGGCACAACTCCCTCGACACCCCTTGGCCTAGGCTCCTAAGCCTAGGCCCTCCTAAACTCATACGTCCCTATCTTGACAGGTTTTTCCATCTCCTTTTTCTCGCTCCTTAGCTTGGTTCTCTGTCCTTTCTCCAGTCAAGCACCACGTATCAGCCCAAGGTGAGAAGTTCCTAACCTATCAAGTAGATCTTGCTTGATTATGAGCTAGACTAACATCCCTTCGAAACGACTAACATTCCTAAGTAGATTAACATTTCGTAATTTCGCATCCTAGTTGTTTAATTTTGTGTTAGTCGTTTCTAAGGGATGCGAGTTGTTTAAGTTTATGTTTAAGACCCTTTGTAAAGTTTTCAGCTTTTCCTCGTGTTATCATTCATGGGGCATCCGTTTTTTCCGTTCTTCATCCATATTTCATTTCCTTGGTTGAATCTTTACTTCCTCATTTTTTCTTAGTTCCTTTCATGTTTTTCTCATCCTCGGTTTAGAACTGTCCTATCTCCCTATATGTCGTGCTAGCGTCGCTTACGCCTATTATTTTCGCTTGGCCCCGTACATTATTTTGTATTGCTGTCATTGCTTGTCGTTCCTCTCGTGTATGTCCCCCTCTCGCACCTCCCTCCTCCCATTCCCTGAAACCTGTCCTCTGTTCAGCCCATTCACAAGCTAGTGTTGGAAATTGAGGTCTTTCCTCCCTGTCTCGTCTCTCATTCTGTCGTTCTATCTCTCTCTCGCTTTCTGATCTCTCTCTCTCTCGCTCTCTCTCTCTCTCTCTCTCTCTCTCTCTATCTCTCTCTCTCTCTCTCCTCTCGTTCCTCTCTCCGTGCTCTCTCTCTCTCTCTCTCTCTCTATCTCTCTCTCTCTCTCTCTCTCTCTCTCTCTCTCTCTCTCTCTCTCTCTCTCTCCCCCCCCTCCCCCTCCTCTCTCTCTCTCTCTCTCTCTCTCTCTCTCTCTCTCTCTCTCTCTCTCTCTCTCTCTCTCTCTCTCTCTCTCTCTCTGTCAAACTCTTTCGCTCGTTTATGTATCTATCAAAACGCTACTATATACGAGCTCATTTATGTTTTCTTCTTTCCTTGCCCAGATTATTGCGTTTCCTCTATGCGGTTATTATCACATCTGGTATTTTTATTCGTTATTCTCCTTTGTACTTCTCTTCCCCACCTGCCTACGTTTCAAATCCTGTAATTCCGTCGTATCGTAGTTCTCTAATGTGTCTCTGCCTCCGTCCTTTTTTCTGCCCCTTCTGCCCCGTTCCTTTCCCTTCCCACTATGTTTCCCCCGTTTCCCTCATAGGGTCTTCGCTATAACATTCGGAGGCTAATGTGGAAATTAAAAGGATTTTGTTTGATTTTTGTTTGAAATGTTAATGATTGATGCTACTGCATTGTTATGTTAGATTTCTTTTAGGTTCATTTTCTGATTGTGACTCGTCTTTGTGTGTGCATATCGGTATGTGCGTGTGTGCGTATGTGTCTCTGTGTGCATATTCATACATATCCACCTGCCATTGCATTAACAATGCGTATCTGTGGATTTTAAAAAAATGGTCAAGCTATCATTTCCGAGAAGGTTCTTTGCCCACTCAGTGAGTGTGTTCACTTGAACTGGATTTGATGGATTTTGATCATTTTTATAGTTTACACAGGTTGTGTTGTTTCATGTAACAGTTGGATGATTCAGGAACTATGCTATCGACTTCCCCCCCATGCTAGGCAGGGGATGCGGTAGCATAAGGTCTGGGTCAATTAACTGTCACGCATTTCCATCATGCCATGCATTCATTTCACTGCACCGGACCTATACCGAAATAAACAGAGCACATGTATATTCACCACAGTCATATATGCATGTATATTTATGCATTTTGCACTCAATCATCATTATACTTCATCTATACATTATATATTCCGGCATATGCATTACCGAATAAACGGTCACGCATTCACAGTTACGGTACATCATTTTGGCAAGTCATGTTTATGTTTCATCGATAAAGTATAGGTTACCAGTCAAGGCGAACTACCTAGGAAATGTGAAAGAATGTGGTACGGCACGTGCTAAATTGTCGTGGCAAATACACAGCATTGAATCACTTAGCCACGATTCACTATTTTTTTTCATAATGATGAAAAAAAAATTGTACATAACGATTGTAATAGGTTGCTTCGCAACCCAAAAAAAATATCCCATACAATAACAAGGCTGCCCATTCAAGAAGGAAATCACCACATATCATCATATATGTATTTTTATGGGGCTTTTTATGGGTGTTGCGTTTGAGTTGTTTCTGGTGTCTTTCTTTCCCGTTCCTCTCCTCTTGTGCGATGCTTTTCTTTGTAAAGATTATGTGTCTGTTGACTCCAATTGCATGTTCATCTCACATCTCTAAAAAAAAAAAAAAAAAAAAACAAAAACAGAAAAGCCTCTTCATTTCGACCACTTGGGCATTAGTGGTAAGGAATCACGCAACCAGTCCTAACCGAGCAGAAAATGATTGGCGATGCACCACCACTACCTTTACGCCGATCTGTTTTCTGGTCAGTGCGATGCGTCTAATCAGCGCGCTTCACGCAGCTAGTCATCTTAGGCTCTCGCGATCGCACTAATGAAGCCTACCCGCGTGCCGGCGGAGCGCGTGGACAACATCTTCTTCAAAAAGCTCGGCGTCGAATTCCGCCTCGCGTCCGCCAAGGACGTGCAGGATGCTAGCCGACGCGGCGATGGACGGCCAGGATCCGACGGCGAGGACGACAGCGGCGGGTTCGGAGGGGACGGGCTGTCGCTGCCTCCCGGCGGGCCGCGCCTGGCGGTTTCCAACAAGTTCGGCGTCTCCGTGCTCGCCGGCGCTTGTGGTACTCGCGGCTCACCTGCTCCCTGCTCACCTGCTGATTACTCGCTGATCGCTCGCAGCTCACTCGCAGCTCACTTGTTCATTATCTCCTGTGCCGAACTTTTTTTTTCTCCAAGTGATGTTTCCTCATCCCTCCCGCCTCATCCCTCCCCGCCCATCCCGCGTCGCGCGTCGGGCGTCGCAGGCTTCTACGCGGCGCACACGCGCGATCTGCTCGTCGTCGCCATGGGCTACAAGCGCCGCGCCGAGGCGGGCGACACGTTCCTCGACGCGCCGCTCTACGCCGGCGCGACAGCCGTGCGGCGCTACCGCCAGGACGGCATCACGGCTGTAGCGCTGGCGGCGGACGAGCTCACCCTGGCAGTTGTAGCGGGCGCGCGCGTCGCGCTCTACAGCCTGCCGGCGCTGGTGGCGCCGTCTCCTGTGCTCAAAACGGACGAGGAGGTGAGTCTGTGCGCTGAATATGCGGCTGTAGCGCCGGTGAGTCCGGAGACAGGTATGCGTCGTTTAGGAGGTTGTAGCGCCGGCAGCAACGCGGTATCTCTTTCCTGCCTCCCCACTTCCCTCCCTCCTTCACCTCCCCGGTTCCCTCCTAAACCCCTCTCCCACTTTTCCGACCTCCCCCTCTTCTCCTTCCCCGCACGCCCAGGCGCTGGTGACGGAGGGGGCAGCGTGCAAGGCGGCGGAGGCGAGCGGCGCAGCAGCGCGCATGGAGAGCCCCCCGCGCCCCTGCACACCGTGCGCGTGGCGGAGGGCTTGCAGGGCGCGGGACGGGGCGGAGAGGGGGAGGAGGGCGCGCGCGTGGCGGAGTGGGGGTGGAACCCGGAGGTGGCGGGGAGCTTTATGGTGCGCACGGAGGGGGGGGCGGTGCTAGCAGGGCGCGTGGGACAGGCGGGTCTCAAGCTCGTTGCTCATGGCGCCGCTGCTGGTATGCTTTCCGATGCTGCTCTCTGCTTTGTTTGTAGATTTTCTAGTTATTCTCTTGTGCACCTGCCTGCGTGTGGTGTTGTGAGGTGCTGTGCGGTGCTGTGAGCTGCTTGAGTGCCTTGCCTCCGTGCTTCTCTCTCAACAGAGCCTCTCTCCCTTCCACCCGTCACCCCCTTCCCAACCTTTTTCCCATCACGCCTCCCTCCCAGCCGCATGGAGCCCATGCGGCATGTTCCTGACAGTGTGCTCTGCTGTGAGGTTCTGTGAGATACTGTGAGGTGACTGAGTGCCTTGTCCTGAACTCCCACCCCACACCTGCTCCCTCCCCATCGCCCCCCTCTCAGCCGCGTGGAGCCCCTGCGGCATGTTCCTGGCGGTGTGCTCCGCCTCAGCGCGCCTCACTTTCCACTCCGACCTGCTGCTGCCACTCTTCAACCTCTCCCTCGCCCTGCCCCCCTTGGGCGATTGCCCCACCTCGGGTGAGTGAGAGCACCCCACCACAGGTGCGCGCACACCCTCGCATGCCCATTTGCTCACTCTCATTCCGTCTCTACTGAACTGCACGTTTGGCCATTCCTTTCTTGTTGCACCCGTGACTCGTGTGTGCTGTGCTGTGCGCTTCCTCGTATTGGGTTAACTTATCTGCCACTTCTCCAGCTTGTTCCAGCCAACAGCCCTCCTCTGTCTGTATGCATGTGTGCGTGCATGTGTGTGTGCTACACGTGTGCTCTGCTCACCTGTGCACAACAGTGACAACGGTGCGCTGGGTGGCGCCCAACGCGCTACTACTGGAGGGGGAGGCGGAGGATGAGGACTTTGGGGAGCCCACGCGCTCGCTCTTCTGCCTCTCCTCATTGCATGGCAACCTGCACGAGGTGCGCCCTGCCCTCTGCACAGTGTGCCAAGGCCGCTGCATCTGTCAACTCCTTCCCTGCCCCTGCTGCTTCAACCATGTTCGTTCTGTCACCACCCCGCACTCTCAAGCCTTACCTCCTGTGCTGGCTCCACCCACCCCACCCACCCTGCTTGGTGCCTGTGTGGGTCGGCCGGGCAGGAGGCGAGCAGCAAGGAGGTGCGGCAGCTGGAGGGGGCGTTTGCCGGCGTGGAGGACGTGCCAGGTGGCGGCATGCTACTGGCCACGCTGCAGCAGTGGTGCGTGCCGAGCTTCTGCTCCACAGCCCACTGTTGCATGTCCTCCGTCCGCTTCCGCATGCATGTGTCTTTCAACAGCAAACCAGTGGCTCACCCATGACATCGTTGTGTATGCATGTCACGGTTGGCGTCGCTCTACATGCCGGCATGCCCCCGCCCCCTCACCCGCCCTCTCTCTGCTTCTGTGTGCGTGATTGCCGCTGTGTTTGTGCGCACACCTTTCTGTGTGTGCGTGTGCGTGTGCACATGAGCATGGTTGAGCAGGCAGGTGGCGGTGGCGGTGTGTCAGCGCAGCAGGGACTATCACGTCAACGTGCTCGGATGGTTCCCCGCACCTTCCTCCTCCGCTGCGGGCAAGGAGGAGGAGGAGCAGGAGGGCGGGGGGTGGGGCAACGCGCGGGTGTGTGAAATCGCCAACGACCGATGGCTGGCGTGCATTCAAAAGCAGGGTGAGGGGATGGGAGTGAGGAGTAGTTGTTGCGTGCAGGGGGAAGGAGCAGGTGGTAGCCCTGGTGACTCTTTGGGGGCGGGGATGGGGCAAGGCACGTGTGTGTGAGATCGCCAATGACCGATGGCTGGCGTGCATTCAAAAGCAGGGTGAGGGGATGGGAGTGAGGAGTAGTTGTTGCGTGCAGGGGGAAGGAGCAGGTGGTAGCCCTGGTGACTCTTTGGGGGCGGGGATGGGGCAAGGCACGTGTGTGTGAGATCGCCAACGACCGATGGCTGGCGTGCATTCAAAAGCAGGGTGAGGGGATGGGTTGATGGGAGGGCGGGGGTGGTGGTTGGTGGTGGGGGTGGGGGGTGGCAGCAGGCCTTCCAATCCTTCATTCTCTCTTTGCTCCATTCATGCCTGCCCTCCAGAGAGTGGCGACGACAACCAGGTGGTGGGGGCGGCAGTGGACGTGTGCTCAGCATGGGGTGCAGTGAACCCCATGGACTCACTCCCCTCACCTAATGTGCATCCTACCCCCCGACCAACTCCCCCCACTGCAGTGAGTGGCGATGACAACCAGGTGGTGGGGGCGGCAGTGGACGTGTGTTCAGCATGGGCCGCTGTGAGCCCCATGGACCCTCGGGACGATGACACGCCTCTGCCCGCCACGCCTCTGCTGCTCGCCGTCACCCTCGACTGCTGCTTCTACGCCTTCTCCCTCGCGCGGTACGCGCTCTCTCTTCCTCCCCTCTCTCTTCTACGCCTTCTCCCTCGCCCAGTACGCTCTCTCTCTTGCTCTCCCTCGCCCGGCATGCTCTCTTCTCTGCTCTACCCGCCGCGCCTCTGCTGCTCGCCGTCACCCTCGACTGCTGCTTCTACGCCTTCTCCCTCGCGCGGTAGGTGCTCTCTTCCTCTCTCTCCCTTGCCCAGTAGGCGCTCTCTCTCCCCAGCCCGGCATACTCTCTGCTCGTCGCTGCATGCACCCCAGTACCCTCTCTCTACGTGGGCCCTGCCCCTTGCCTCCTGTGCTGCCTCCTAACATTCACCCGAACCTTTTTCCACAAACTCCCATCTCCCTCCGCCTTCCCCTCCCCTTCCCCTCCCCTTTCCTCCCCTTCCCCTCCCCTTCCCCTCCCCTTCCCCCCCACGGCAGTCTCGACAAGCTAGAAGGCCCCTCCCTCGTCCACCCCCCTCTCCCCCTCCCGCCCCCCCTCGCCTCCCTCCCCTGCTCGCGCCCCCCTCTCCCCCCACCGCCTCCCTCCAGAGCCGCGCCTCCAGCCCCCCCGCCACTCCCCCACCCACCTCCCGCCCCCAACTCCCCCCTTCACGCCTCCAGGGGGGGGTTGTGGCAGCGCAAGGGGGGGGGAAGGGGGAGGGGGAGGACGAGGATGAGGACACGGCTAGCAGCCCATCCCCCCCGCCCGGTGATGCACCTGGGGAAGGCGTGGGGGGAGCGGGGGGGGTAGGGGGAGCAGGGGGGGCGGGGCAGGGTGCGCCAGCAGTGAAGGTGTCCCCCACGGGGGGAGCTGCTCCGTCGTCCCTCAAGCCAGGCGCCTCTCAGCCCTTTCTGCAGCGCCTCATGCACCCCTCCCCCTGCTGCCCCTGCTGCCCCTGCTGCTGCTGTAGCCGCCTCTGCTGCTGCCTCTGCTGCCGCCCCTGTGTTCTCCCCACCATCCTCCTCCCCGCTCCTTTCTCCTCTGCATTCCCTGCCTTTGGGTCAGCCCCTGCATTTGGTTCCGGTTCTGCTCCTGCCTTTGGGTCTGCTCCTGCCTTTGGGTCTGCTCCTGCCTTTGGCGCTGCCTCCCCCTTCGGCGCTGCCCCTTCCCCCTTCGCCCCCAAGTCCCCAACCCCAGCCGCCCTCTTCGCCATGCCACCTGCAAAGCTAGCCGAAACTCCCACTGCTGCTGCCCCCCCTGCCGCCGCTGCCCCTCCCCCCGCGTCCTCCCCCTCGCCCCTCGCCCCTGCGCCCTGCTCCACTCTCTTCGCCGCCTTCTCCCGCCCCCCTGACTCCTCCAAACCGCTCTCGCCCTTCCCCTTCCCCTCCTCCACCTCCAAACCCGCCTCTCCCTTCCCCTTCCCCGCTGCCCCTGCTGCCAAAGACTCCCCCCCAGCTGCCCCTTCCGCATTCCCCCCATTCGTCCCCCCCACCTCCGCCTCCCCCTTTGCTCCCCCCGCCTCCTCCTCCTCCCCTTTTGCCCCGTTTGGCTCTAAGGGCGCTCCTCTGCAAGGCCTGCCCTTCAACGCCTCTGCTGCTGCTGCTGCTGCTGCTGCCCCTGCTGCTGCTGCCGCTCGTGCTGGTAGTGCTGGTTCTGCTGCTGCTGCTGCTGCTGCTGTGGCAGCAGCAGGGTCTCTGGCTGAAAGGCGGTTGCCTGCTAAAGGAGCGTTTGTTGTTGGGAGGACAGGGAGGAGGAGGAGGAGGAGGAGGAAGAGGAGGAAGAGGAGGAAGAGGAGGAGGGAGAATACGAAGAAGAGGAGTACGAAGGGGAGGAAGAGTATGAGGAAGGGGAGGAGTATGAGGAAGGGGAGGAGGAGTATGAGGAGGGGGAGGAAGAGGAAGAAGGGGAGGTGTATGAGCAAGAGGAGGAAGCACGGCCAACTGTTCCCAAGCCAGAAGCAGTCTTCCCACACCCCTCCGCACTCCTCCCCACCGCTCTCTCCCCCGATCAGCGCCAGTCCCTGCTCCCCAAACGCTCCCCAGCGCTATCCTCCCCACCAGCAGCGGCAGCAGGCGGGGTGATAGAGGCGCTGATAGGCGCAATGGGGGAGATCAGGGGGATGAGCGCGGAGGTGCAGAGCGCAGTGGAGGGGGGGACGCTGGGGGAGAGGCTGAAGGAGGTGGAGGGGCGCGTGAGGGAGATGGGGGGTGCTGTGAAAGGGTTTAAGAGCGGTGTGGAGGAGTTGAGAGGGCTGGTGGAGGAGCTGAGGGATGGGAACTTGATGGGTGAGTGGGGATGCAGGCAGAGAGTGGGGGTGTTGGGGCAGAGGGGGTGTTGCAAGGGAGGGTTGGGTGGTGCAAAGGGAGTGGGAGGGGCTATGGGACAAAGTAAAGTGGTTTTGCTCCTCATTTGCATTGTGTTCCCCTTCCCACTGACCCCTTGCTCTCCCTTCTTACCAGGGCATGCATTCCAGCCCTACCTGTTCCTCCGACTGTGCCCCCGATTCCCCCCCCTCCTCCCCCCCCACACCAGCGGAGGACAGGGTGATGCAGGCGTTCCACTGGGTGCGGCTGATCACACACCCAATTTCCCTTTTCTGCTCAATCCCCGTCTCACCCTCCCCCGACTCTCTGCCTGTTCTCCTCCCCACACCAGCGGAGGACAGGGTGGTGCGCGCATCCCACTGGGTGCGCCTGCTCGCCTCCCCCTCGCTCACCTCGCTGCATGCCGACCAGCCCCTGCCGCCATCGCTGCAGCAGCAGCGTCAACGCGTGCTCGCGCTCAGACAGGTGGGGAGGAGCACCTGCAGGTGCTGGTGGGGCAGCGTGGGCTGAGACAGGGAAGGCAGAGGGGGCTTGGGCCGAGACAGGGAAGGCATAGGGGCTTGGGCTGAGACAGGTGAGGATAAGTGTGTTGCTTGCTTGTCGTCCATGCTTCTGTTGCCCAATCCCTCACTTAACCCTCACTAGTCAGTCTTTCCATCCCCCACCGCACTTCCATCGTCTCCCACCGCTCTTCCCCCACACTGTCCCTCCTCCCGTCTCGCCCTCCCCTTCCCCCCATCCCTCCCCCAAGTGCAACCCAAACGTACTGTCTGCTATGTCTCCTCTCTCCTCTCCTCTCACCCTCCCCTACCCTCCTCCCCAACCCCCTCTCCCCCATCCCTCCCCCCTCCAGGAGGTGCGGGTGCGCCTGGCAGAGCTGCAGCAGATGGCGCAGGAGGAGGAGGCACGGCGTCGGCAGGAGCAGAGGGAGCGGGAGCGAGAAGAGAGGGAGCAGAGGGCGAGGGCTAGGCGGACGGCGCACGGGGGAGTGTGGCAGGGGCAAGGTGTGGGGTACGGTGGGGGGTATGGGGGCGAGGAGGATTTCTCATCGCTCACGGATCGCTTCGGTGGGCTCAACGTGGCTGCTGCTGGCCGTCACGGGTGCGTCGTCATTGACCCGAGACCTTTTTCCCTTACCCTCTTCATATCCAAGCCCCTCATCTGCTGCCATGCTGCTCTCTGCGGCTTTCCACTCATCCACTGTGCGTTCACATACATTCTAAGCTCGCTTTACTGAATCTCTTTCCTTCCCCCCATCCCTGTTCCCCAATGTTTCTGCAGCGCCTCCCCGCCCGCCCCCTGGCCGCCCCTAGCGGCAACAGTGAACGCGCAGCTCGCAGTGGCCTCCCACCTGCTGCACCAAACCGCCCTCCTGCGCTCCCGCCTCGGCCTCCCCCCCCTCCCCTCCCCTCCCCGCGCCCATGCGCGCGCCTCCCCCCCCACTCGCGTTCCCCGCCTTGTGGATGCCCCTGAAGGGGAGGGAACGGGGGGAGGGCGGGGAGGGGAGAGAGAGAAGCGGAAAGGGGGGTATGGGGGGGCGTGGGTGCGGGGGAAAACGGGTTCCGTGACAGCTGCAGCGATTCTAGAATCTCTGGAGGATGGTGGGGGAGGGGGAGGCGGATGGGGAGGGAGAAGGGGCGTGTGGGGAGGGGAGGGCAGGGAGGGGGAGGGGGGTGGTGGTAAGAGACGGGCGTCAGGGAGAATAGGGCTCAGTGCAGGGGACCTGGAGGTGGGGGGAGAGGACGAGGGGGATGGGGAGGAGAATGGGGTGGGGGAGAGGAAGGGGAAGAGGGCAGAGGCAAGGCGGGAGAGTGTTGGCGAGCGGTTGGGCAGAGAGGGAGGGAGGGAGTGGGAGGGGGTGGAGGAGGAGGAACGGCGGAGGGGGGGAGTTAGGGGAGAGGGAGGTGCGATGGGGACGCCGAGGCGCAGCATGGGTGCCACGAGGAAGGTGTGTGATGGGGGGGGATGCTTGGAGGGGGGGATGCTTGGAGGAGGGGGATTCTTGGAGGAGGGGGAGAGGATGTTGACTGATGGGGAAACGAATCCAGCTTGTGTTGGGGGGACGGAGGGGAGGTGGTGTGTGTGCCAGCAGAAGGAGTGCAGTGCTTTGCTGCTTCTGTCTCCCCTCCACGTGTGCTCTTCTTTGCTGCTCTAACACTTCCCCACCTGTTTTTCTCAGCTGCCATAGCACTACCCCCAGCATACACTGCCACAGAACCTCACATGACTGCCCACTCCCTCGCATCCCTCGCCCCCTCCCCACCTTCCCTCTGCGCCAGGCTCTCCCGCTGCATCTCCTCTCGTCGCCCTCGCGCTCCTCCCCCACCACCAAGCGCCCCCTCCCAGGCCTCTCCTCTTTGGGCGGCCCCACCCCCCTCCCTTCGGGTATGCGCCCGCCTGCTTTTCTCTGCGCTTTCTGCTGCTGATGCGGTTGCTGCCGCTCTGCTGCCCCTCTGCTGCTGCCTTGCTGTCTCGCTGTCTTGCTGATGTCCCTTCATCCCGTGTTGTGCACCGCTTTCCATGAATGGGTGGATAAATCCGAGGCTCTTCTCATCTCCTCATATAGGGCCGTGCCATGGGCAACGTGCAGTCATACCAGGCCGTGCCATGGGCAACGTGCAGTCATACCACAATGTAGACCCACATCATATCGCAAGCTCATGCATCCATGCACAGCTGCTACAACCCTGCCACGCCAGCCAACCCTTCTCCCTCGCTCGCCTGCATTCCCTCTGCCCCCCTTCTCCCCGCCTCCCCCGTCCAGGCCGCGCTGACGCACCTGCAGCAACCGCAGCAGCAACAGCACGAGCAGAAGGAGCACGTGTGGCTGCCACGCGGTCACCGGCAGCACCGAGAATGAAGCTGAGGCCCAAAGCCAGAGCGAACAGGGATGTGGAGAAAGAGAAAGACAAGCCTGCTGCACCTCCATCCAAGCCCATCTCCCCCGCCCCACCTGCCTCTGCTTCTGCCTCGCTCTCCCCCCCGCTCGCTCTCCCTCCCCACCTGCCCGCACCGCATCCCCCGTCCCTGCCGGCACCTCCCGCTCCCGCTCCCCTTCCCCCACTCCCGCTGCCGTCTCCTCTCCTGCCCCTTTCCCGCCCGCCTCAACTGCTGCAACTGCCCCTGCAGCCAGCAAGAAGTCAGCAGCAGGCATGGCAGGGGGAATAGGCTTGGCAGGAGGGGCTGGAGGGGCAGGAGGCACAAGTGCTGCTGGTGCTGGCAGCAGTGCTGCTGCTCCTCTCTTCTCAACAACTGCCAAGCCCATCACGTCCCCGTTCCCATCCCTCTTCAGCCCCTCACCCGTCTCTTCCCACACACAGCCAAGAGCAGCAGCAGCAACGGGAGGGGCAGCAGCAGCGCCCTCTACTCTCGCCGCTCCTTCTCTCTCACCTGCCACCAAGCCGCCCTCCTCCTCTCCCTTTGGCTTTGCTTCTTCCTCACAATCCACCTCCTCATTCTCCTCTCCCTTCTCCTCATCCCCCTCTCCCTCGCCCTTCACTGCACCGGCCTCCAAGCCATCCCCCTTCACCACCAGTGCAACTGCTTCACCCTTCTCTTCTACTCCCTTTTCATCCGCGTCATCATTCTCCTCCTCCTCCCCTTTCACCTCCACTTCCCCATTTTCGTCCGCCTCCCCATTCTCGCAGACCACCAACCCATTCCAGCTTCCCAAACAGCCCCCCAAGGCAACCACAACCACTCCCCCTGCCACTCCCCCTGCCACTGCTTCTACGGCTGCTGCCACCACCAGTGCTGCCAGCACAGGCGCAGCCATGGCAGCTTCAGGAACCACTGCCTCTGCTAATGCCGCTGCTAAGCCGAGTGCGACTGCCACAACCGCAGCCCCATCAGCAGGATCCTCTGCTGCCGCAGCACCCTCCCCCACCCCGTCCTCTCCCCTGCCTGGCTTCTCCTCCGCTCTCCCTTCCTTCTCCTCCCCGTTCTCTTCTGGTGCTGCCCCTGCCTCCCGCCCTCCCCTCTTCTCCACCACCACGCCCCTCTTCTCCTCCAAGCCGCTCACCCCTCCTTCCACTGCTGCCCCTGCTGCTGCCAGCGCCCCCTCTGCTGCTGCCCCCTCTGCTGCTGCCCCCTCTGCTGCTGCCCCCTCTGCTGCTGCTTCCTCTGCTGCTGCCAGCGCCCCCTCTGCTGCTGCTCCCTCCACCACCCCATCATCCACTTCCTCCCCAGCAACAGCCACACCACCAGCAACAGCAGCAGCACCAGCAGCAGCAGCCACCACACCAGCTGCAGCAACAACAGCAGCCACAGCTTCTGCTGCTGCCCCGGCTGCTGCCTTCCCATCCTTCACCTCTCCCTTCGCCTCCCAGTCATCCCCATTCGCCCCCTCCTCCCCCGCCCCGGCCCTACCCACCCCTGCTCTCTCCACCCCCTCCCTCGCCTCCTCCCCTTCCAGCCACCCAGGTCCCCTTCCCCTCAGCCCGCTCCCATGGCAGCAGGAGGGGAAGGTGGGGACGATGAGGGGATGGAGGAGGAGCAAGGAGCAGCCACGGCACCACCCACCGGTGCTGTAGGCGCCTTTGCCTCGCTGGGTTTTGGCTCCTCTGCTCCCCGCCCCTCCACCACCCCTGCCAACCCCTTCGGCGGCTCTCCTTTCGGCGCCCCTGCCTTCGCCTCTCCTGCCTCCGCCTCTGCCTTTTCGCCAGCCTCCAAGCCTGCCTTTGGCGCCAGCAGCACCTCTCCGAATCTCTTTGCTCCGGCCTCCTTTGCCATCCCTGCTGCTTCATCCTCCTCCCCTGCCTCCTCCTCCCCCTTTGGTGCGCCCTCTTCTCTCGGCACCGCCTCTCCAGCCGCCCCTCGCCCCTTTGGCTCTACTACTGGTCCCTTTGCCTTCCCTGCTTCCCCCTCCTCTCCCTTCGGAGCTTCTGCTGCCCCTGCTGCTGCCCAGACCTCTCCCAGCTCAGGGTCAGGCTTCGCGCTGGGTGCATTCGGGCAGACGCGAAACATTTCAGGTGCCCCTGCGTTTGGGGCTGCTGCCCAGTTATCTGCAGCAGCACCAGCTGTGTCTCCATTCGCTGGGGTGACGTCAGGTGGCGGCTTTGCTGCTGCCGCCCAGGGAGGTGCGTGCTCCCCTTTTGCAACTCAGTTGTACCTCAACACAAATACATATCCATGACCCACACACGCACTCTTGCCTCGTTTCTCACTCATGCATTTCCATGTGCTTTTCATATAGAGTCCCTTTCCTTGCCTGAACCTTATGACCTCACCACTCTTACACCCATAACCCCCCGTATGCACATTCATTCCCATGCCACAATGTGCCATCATCATCATGGGTACAGGAGGGGGTTTTGGGGCGTTTGCCAACAAGCCTGCAGCGCTGGCCTCCCGCCCTTTCACGCCCGCCTCCCCTGCCTCTGCTGGCCCCCCGGAGCTCTTTGCCATGCGCAAGTGAGGGCTGTCTTGTCTTATCGTGGTGATTGATTGGATCATTGTGTTGCGGTTCAAAAGCACTCCTAAGCATGTGTAACTGCATCTCAACGTTGCAGTGCTACTGTGGAGTTGGTGTTTCACGCAAGCTATTGTTAGTGTGATTGTTGGAGTAGATAATAGACTTAACAAACAATTCAGTATGCTAGGAGTTGTATTTGCCAACCAATACCGTAATCACCCGGACAAAACACCCCCCCGTAATAGTACACCCCCGGGTAGCTTGTGCGGGGGGGGTGCTATAGCCGACCTCGTTTGTACTATACCCCCCCTTTTGGGGTGATTCTCTATAACACCCCCCTTTTCTTACGAAACCCTATTATAGCTGTTATCGAGTCAGATTTTTTAAGGGAGGATATGACGAAAATGGCTTCCCGAATGAAATTTCGCGTGCACTTTCACTTCGAATCTACCGAGATTCCCTCCCTTCCACAATCTCGCTGTCGCCACGCTGGCGAATCTTCCGCTGCACGTGGCCCGAGAGGTGAAACTCACATTCTCGCCAAAACGCGAATTCTCGCCTCAACCTGTGATGTTAAAACGACTATTGAAACACCCAAATTGTCTAATTAAACTTTTTTCTTACACTAAAAAGTGCCATATATAACCACCCGGGTATTATATAGGATTTTCCGTTGAGAGCACCCCCCCCCCCTTTTTCCCTGTGGTTATCATAATACCCCCGGGTGTTATGTCCGGGTGATTACGGTACCAGCTTGACTTATTGACGCTTTTTCTTAGCCGCCAATTTGGGGCTTTGTATGTGGACAATACAAAGGAGTTGTCCAGAGACGGAGCACCACGTGTGGAGGGCTTTTCCCGCGTGTATGATTCAGCGACGCGAGGGAGCAATCCCCGTATCACCGACCGAAGGGTGGTTACGGGGTTGGGGTCCAACAGTCCATATTCTCTGTGTCCGCCATTGCCCCGCTTCGGCGCTGTTTTCTGGTTCAACGAACACGCTCCGAATCTAGTGCGAACGGTTTCGAATAATTATCTACCAGTGTCGTGTCCAGCTGGCAGGTGGGCACCCAAGCAAATCAGCTCGCCTGACGTGTTCGCGAGCTCGTGCGCGTGGCCAAACACCCAGGCCAGCGCAGCAAAGCACTCGAACCCCTCTAGTCGCGGTCCCATCATTCATTCCCTCGCACTCCCTCGTCTTTGGTTGGACCTTCGGCCTGACTAACCTCGCGGCGGGCTGGGGGCGGCGCATTTGCGAATTGGAAATGCGAATGGGACCACAGCTGTCACACATGCCGCAACCCTGCCATCACCAACGTCCTCCTGCAGACACTCCGCGCACTCCGTTCCTCATTTTGTCTCGGTCTCGCACCAATCTCTGCTTTGCACAGCCCGCCCACCAGTGGCCTCTCTGTTGCACATCCTCGGTGCTCTCTCGCTTCCGTTTCTTGCTGCGCACCTCTCTTATGACGACGCTTTCTCGACCTCCTCCGCTCTTTCTCGTTGACTCCTCTTCGCTGTCATCATCTCGCGTCGCACCTCGTAATCTAGTCTCCTCTTTCACGCAATTCGTCAAACCTCTTACGCAAACAGCAACAATGGCTCCTGGGACCTTCCGTGCCGCAGCGGCGTCCGCCGTTCATTCGGGCGGAAGCATCGGGGGAAACGACGTGCAAGCGCAGCAGCACGCGGATCCCGGCGGAAGCCGCAGTGCGCAGGCGAGCGGCGGGGGAGTGGCGAACAAGTACGGGCTGCTAGCGGCGGTGATTGCGGCGCGCGGCGGGTGCGCGGTGCTGGACGGCGGGCTGGCGACGGAGCTGGAGCTGCGCGGCGCGGACCTCAACGACCCGCTGTGGTCCGCCAAGTGCCTAATGGAGGAGGAAGCTTCCAGCCTCGTTCGCAAGGTGCGCTGCGGTTGGCAACGGGCGAATCTATGTCGGTAGTCGAGAGGGGCGAGTGGCGATGAATCTTACAGGCGACCGCGGCTGTAGATGTCCTCCGCAGTGCGCGTGCTCGCATCGCGTCGAACGACAGGCGCGACGCGGCTCGCCGATCGGACGACACTTTTGCAGCAGGGAGCGCCGGTTGCGCGTGCCGCGCTCAGAGGACGAGAGCAGCGAGCGATGGTTCTCCGTGCCGCGCGGCTCTCACCCGTACCTATTATTCGCTCATCTTTCCTCCATTTCGCCCCACCTTCGCCGCCCCCATCCCCTTCCCGCCATCGGTGCGCGCAGGTTCATCTGGACTACTACCGCGCGGGCGCCGACATTTCCATCTCCGCGTCGTACCAGGTACGGGTGTTGTAGCTCGATGAGTTGCCACATCAGGCAAGAACTGCTATTTTAGGAAAGTAGCAACTCGCGGAAACACTGCAGTAAACATCTGTTACTACTCGACACGTGACACTACTCACCACGTGTCAATACAACAATTTCCAGCATTCGTGTTCCGCCGTCGCCCACCCAATCCTCGTATCCTACCTCGCCTTTCTCTGGATCTACCTTCTCTGCGGCTTATGCGTAGTAGTTTTTTACCTCAATAGTAAATGGTATCTTCTTCTTCCGTTTCCCGTCCTCGTTTCTTCCTTGCCTTTCCACCCTTGTTCCTTCCCCCCTCTTCCCGCCATGCCCCATCCACCCACTCGTCTCCTCACCTCGGCGCTTCCCCAGGCAACCATCGAGGGCTTCACGGCGCGCGGGCTGTCGGAGGGGCAGGCGGAGGCGCTGCTGGCACGGAGCGTGCAGCTGGTGGGGGAGGCGCGGGACCGCTTCTGGGCGCAGCACTGCGCGGAGGCGGAGCGGAGGGGGGAGCGGGTGGAGCGCGCGGAGGGCGGCGTGGAGCGCGTGGCGGGGCGCGTGAAGCCGCTGGTGGCGGCGTCCGTCGGAAGCTACGGCGCGTTCCTCGCGGACGGCTCCGAATACAGGTGGGGGAGGGGGGAGGGGGGAGGAGAGGGGGGGGGTGGGCGGCGGTGCGGTTAAGGGTGAGAGTGGAAGTGCGGGTGGATGATTGTGGGATTGCACGTGGGTGCGGGAACAGGCGGGGAGGGGTGCGAGTGCAAGCAAAGATGATGCTAGACGCAGAAGCTCGATACTAAAGCACAGGCTTTCAATGCTCAAATCTCGGCCACAGACTTTTAGAGGATCAAATATTGAGCAAAGGCTTGGCCACAGGTGGAAATTGCACAGACGTGCAGCAAAGTGGGTCGGGATTTGAACACACACGTATATGTGGAGAACGGATAAGGGGTGAACGTGAGAGCGGGATGAGGTTGGAGCAATGCTTTGGCCATCCGTGCTGCCTGCGTGCATGGGGAACGCATGCAAGTTGTGTCCTGCGGCGCGCCCTCCCCTCCCCCCCTGCAGTGGCGACGACGGCGCGGATATGACAGTGGCGCGACTCATGGCCTTCCACCGTGCTCATCCGTGTGTCCTGGTGTCCTGCTCTGCTACCCCCCCCCCCCCCCCCCCCTGCCCCCGCCGCCCCCTCTTGCCTCCCCTCCCCCCCTGCAGTGGCGACTATGGCGCGGACATGACAGTGGAACGACTCATGGCCTTCCAACGCCGCCGACTGCAGGTGCGTGCCATGCCGTGCACGTGCTGTGCGATGCCATGCCGTGCACGTGCTGTGCGATGCCATGCCATACACGTGCTGTGCGATGCCATGCCATACACGTGCTGTGCGATGCCATGCCATACACGTGCTGTGCGATGCCATGCCATACACGTGCTGTGCGATGCCATGCCATACACGTGCTGTGCGATGCCATGCCATACACGTGCTGTGCGATGCCATGCCATACACGTGCTGTGCGATGCCATGCCATACACGTGCTGTGCGATGCCATGCCATACACGTGCTGTGCGATGCCATGCCATACACGTGCTGTGCGATGCCATGCCATACACGTGCTGTGCGATGCCATGCCATACACGTGCTGTGCGATGCCATGCCATACACGTGCTGTGCGATGCCATGCCATACACGTGCTGTGCGATGCCATGCCATACACGTGCTGTGCGATGCCATGCCATACACGTGCTGTGCGATGCCATGCCGTGCCACGCCAGGCCTTCATTCTGCTACGCGCCATGATCCTGCTGCATGCGACATCCATGTCACTCTTCAATTGTGTCCCTGGTAGTAGTTCGCTGGGGGCTATTTTGCAACCCATGCTGTCCGTTTGCTGTACCCTTGCTGTGTGCTGCGTGTCCCGCCCTCCATGTCCCGCCCTCCATGTCCCTCCCTCCATGTCCCGCCCTCCGTCTCCCGCCCTTGCTATGCGGTCCTTGCCCGAGGGAGCAGGGGCTGGCAGCAGCGGGGCCGGACATTATCGCCATGGTTGGGGGCTTTTTTCCAACCCATGCTGATTGTGTGTTGTGCCCTTGCCTACTGTTGCCCTGTGCGAGCAGGTGCTGGCAGCAGCGGGGCCGGACATCATCGCCATGGAGACCATCCCATGCCTTATCGAGGCTCAGGTACGCACCACGCCGTGTTATGCCATGTTATGCTGTGCCATGCCATGCCATGCCACATGCCACAACATGGCATTCCCTTCACGGCATGTTATGATTCGTCACTCCTATGCGGTGCTGTTCCTTTCACCTCTTCTCCGCCTGCATCGCCGCCCTCTCTACTCTCCCCACCCCACTCTTCCCCTCCTCTCCCCGCTCCCCCCTTCACAGGCCTTGGTGCAGCTGCTAGAGGAGCAGGCAGCGTCAGGCTTGGCAGTACCGGCGTGGATCAGTTTCAACAGCCTGGATGGCCGCACAGCGCCGTCAGGCGACCTCTTCTCCACCTGCATCGCCACCGCTGCTGCCAGCCCGCACGTGGTGGCTGTTGGGATCAACTGCACGCCGCCCCGCTTCATCCTGCCGCTTCTGCATGCTGCTCGGAAGGTGAGGCGGGCGGGAAAGGGAGGGAGTGAGTCGGAGAAGGGGGTGAGGGGGAAGGGAGTGGGGGGGAAGGGAGTGGGGGGGAAGGGAGTGGGGGGGAAGGGAGTGGGGGGGAAGGGAGTGGGGGGGAAGGGAGTGGGGGGGAAGGGAGTGAGGGGGGACGGGAGTGAGGGGGGACGGGAGTGAGGGGGGACGGGAGTGAGGGGGGACGGGAGTGAGGGGGGACGGGAGTGAGGGGGGACGGGAGTGAGGGGGGGGAAGAGAATGATGCAGCGAAGGGAGTGTAGTGGAAAGAGGGTGTGGGCAGACTGTTCCACGGTGCTCCCCCTCCTCTGCCGCCAGGCAAGAAAGACCGCTCTGCTCCCTGTGCTGCGTAGGGGGTCATGCAGTTGCAGCAGCACACTCAAGCAATCTCGGCATGCATGTGTCCCACTCTTCCCTCTCCAGCACTCCCTTCCTTCGCCTGCTTGCCCTCTCTTCTCTCCCTGCTTCCTGTTATTTGTTCATGGCACTGCGTTTGTTAAACTTAACCAGAATATGGAGGAACCATTACTCGAGCATTGAGCATACAACACAGAATGTCAACAAGCCCCTCCTCCCTCCCCTTCCCCCTTCTCCTCCCCCTTCTCCTCCCCTCCCCCTCCTCCCTTGCCTGTCTTGCCCGTGCGTGCCCACGTGACAGGAGACATCGAAGCCACTGGTGGTGTACCCCAACAGTGGGGAGGCATGGGACGGCATCAACAAGGAATGGGTGGTGCGTGCTCTGCTCTGCACCGCTCCGCAATCCCATTCTCTTGCCCACTCCACTCTGCTATTTCTGCTCTGCCTTGCTGTGCCCTCCTCCGCACTCTGCTCCATCACCCAGCACTTTGAATCCTCGCCTCACTCTTTACACCAGTCCATGCGGCACGTTATGCCTTCCATGCTCCCCTCATCCATTCATGTGCGAGCACTTGTTCCCCCCTTGGGCCTTGTTCCAATGTTCTCGTGCGTGCAGCCATGCAGTGGGCTGAGCGACGATGGCTTTGTGTCGTACGCGCCTGAGTGGGTGAGCGCCGGAGCAGCAGTGCTGGGCGGTTGCTGCCGCACCACACCACACACCATCTTCAGCATTGCCGAATGCATTCACTGCCGAGGAGAAAAGGGGCCAGGGTGGAAGAGAGTGGGGCCTATTGTTGTTCGCACAGACACGGAAGTAGATGCAGCTGTTGCAATATGACATGCTTTGCTGGCACTATTTGCTTTCCGTACCGGATCAGCGTCTTGTAAATACTCACTTGCATTTGTTCCTTCAGGCTTATAGATTCTAGTATACGTGAAGGTTCTGTTTCTTTGAGATTGGCTAACATGAGCTTCATCAGATGCACAATTATTTCAGGTTTCACCAACCAATGCATGGATTATTAGTGGATTATATATCGCTGTCTCTGAAACAATGTACAGCTTGAGTGTTACATCGCTGAGGGGTCGACACACTGAATCTGGTCACTGTAGGCCATTGTCTTGAAACACTGAATCAGACCGTTTGGCGCCTCGACCAGAGGCAGAGCCGCACATCTCGCCCCACCAACCACGTGTCCCCCCGACACGTATGGGTTCAGCAGCCAAAATGCATGGCTGCTTCGGTTCGCTTGGTGACTCCTTTTCGAGATGGAGCATTTCTAGCTCGGCATGCGATTGGTTCGGTGGCTGACGACCTCATATCTCCGCGCCTCGGATCCCGCACAACCAGGGCCCAAGTTTTGGGAGGGGTCGAGCCAATTGGTTTGGTGGCTGCCTGAACACCAAGCCTGACCTCACGTTGCCCGCACATCACCACATCTCGCTCCCCTTCCCAAACCGTAGCTTCAGGCCACCGCCATTTTTTGCGCTGCTGGCCTCGTTCTGTGCAGTTTGCTTGGCTCCTGGTCCCCGCGTTTTCTCAGGGGTTTGTTTGGAGGTGTGTAAAGGATGCGGTGCGTGGTTTGCATGGTTTGATTTGGTGTGCACTAGGCAGCTTCTCCACACTGCCCAGAACTCCGGCGCGCGCGATGTTTAGCCCCTGGACCCCGCACCTGCCTGTCGAGGCAAACCAAAGCCAGCTTTGCGATGAGCTTTGTTCTCTCCGCTCCATTCGCGATATTGCCCGCGCGCAGCGGAACCCACCCAAAGCCTCTTCCCCCCTTACATCTGATCTGGACTCGTTTCGGACGAAGAACCCGAATGCGCGCGTTCCCTCTGCTCTAACAGGAGCTTCTCAGCACTGGTCCTCACTCCTGGGCGTCTTGGTATATCTCTTCTCGCCACAAGTTGTTGATAGATAAGGCAGCCGCACAGGAGAAGCGTTCTTCATTCCAGATTCTAGTAATTGCTGCACTTTTGCTCCGTAGTGAGTTCCAGCCTTAGATTTCTAGCCTAGCTCCGCCGGAGCACATACGACTTTCCGCACGTCTTTGCGCGTTCGTCCTTGTACTAAAAGTACACCGCAGAAGCGCCGCCATGGGTGTGTCGATCGAGGCGGTGAATGACGAGCAGCCGCCAATGTCGCGCGAGCAGGGGTCGTCGCGCGAGCACCAGGTGACGGTGCCGCACGCGTCGATAAAGGACGAGCTGCAGGAGACGTTCGCGCCGGTGAAGCAGCTCATGGTCATCGACAACGACCCCTTCAAGGCGTACCGCGGCAAGACGGCGGCGCAGCGCGCGAAGATGGCGCTGTTCTACGTGTTCCCCATCCTCGAGTGGGCGTCCAACTACAAGCTCGCCAACCTCTTCGGCGACGTCGTCGCGGGGCTCACCATCGCCAGTCTCGCCGTCCCCCAGGTCAGCGGCGTCGCCAGCATTTCCGTAGACTCTTCCCCGCATCGTTCTCCGAATCTGAATTCGCATTCTTGTTCAATGCGGATGCGCTCCTCCCCCGCGCTGCGCTCTCCACCATCGCCTTAACGTCTCCGCCTTTCCCCTTCTTTGTCGTCGCCTCGCGCCGTGCAGGATCTGGGATATGCGAAGCTCGCCAAGCTTCCGCCCATTAACGGACTTTGTAAGCACTGACCTTTTCGCCCAGCCCTCCGCGCGGCGCCTTCATCCGTTTACCTTCGTTCCGCATCTCATCCCTCAGCGGTCGCTTTAAACCCCCCGTTTGCTAACACCTGATTTTCTCTCGCCGCCGGCGTTACTTTTCTAAGACTCTTCCTTCTCAAACCGTGACCCCCACTGCATCCCCCTCGTCACATTCTTACCGTCGCCCGCTTACCCTTCCCCTCCGCGACTCCCCCCCCTCTCCCTTCTCCCCCTTTCAGACAGCAGCTTCGTGCCGCCGCTGATCTACGCCGTGCTGGGCACGTCGCGGCACATCGCGATCGGGCCGGTGGCCGTGGTGTCTCTACTGCTGGGCGACCTGCTCTCCAAGTACTACAACTCGGACACGCAGCCCGCGCAGTACCTCAACCTCGCCATCACGGCGACGTTCTTCGCGGGCATCTACCAGCTGGCGATGGGCATCTTCCGCCTGGGATTCATCATCGACTTCATGAGCCACGCCGTCATCGTCGGCTTCATGGCGGGCGCCGCCATCACCATCGCGCTGCAGCAGCTGCGCGGGCTGCTGGGGTACACGTCGTTCACGCAGGACACGGACATCGTGTCGGTGCTCGAGTACGTCTTCCAGAACACCAACCAGTTCAACTGGCGCGCGTTCCTCATCGGCATGTCCATGCTCACCTTCCTCCTCGTGCTGCGCTTCTTGGCGCAGTACCTCAAGGGCCGCAAGGTGGTCGGAAAGGTGTTTTTCTACCTCAACTGCGTGGGGCCCATGACTGCTGTGATCGTGTCGACGCTCGCCGTGTGGCTGACGAAGGCGCCCGTGCCCAAGGTGGGCGAGATGAAGAAGGGGCTGGCGGGGCTGGGGTCGCTGGGCAAGCTGCAGCTGACGGGGCAGGACGCCGCGGACGCCGCCGTCGTGGGGCTCGTCGCGGGGCTCGTCGCGCTCACGGAGGCGTCCGCCATCGCGCGCACGTTCGCCGCGTTACAGGGTTACCACGTGGACGGGAACAAGGAGATGATCGCGCTGGGCGCGATGAACATCGCGGGGTCGTTCACGTCCAGCTACGTCACCACGGGGTCGTTCTCGCGCTCAGCCGTCAACTACAACGCGGGCGGCGCCACCATGCTCACCAACATCGTGATGTCGTTCGTCGTCATGATCACGCTGCTGTGGGTCACGCCCGCGTTCCAGTACCTGCCGAACGCGACGCTGGCGGCGATCATCATCAACGCGGTGCTTGGTCTTTTGGACTACGAGGCCATCTGGAAGATCTGGAAGGCCGACAAGGTCGACTTTATTGTCGCGCTCGGCACGTTTCTCGGGATTCTGTTTGACTCGGTGGAGACGGGGCTGCTGGTGGGCGTGTGCCTGTCCATGCTCAAGATCCTCGTGCAAATCACGCGCCCGCACCTCGCCACGCTGGGGCTCGTGCCGGGCACGGGCGTGTACCGCAACATTCAGCAGTACCTGCAGGCGGAGGTGACGGAGGGCGTGTATGTGCTGCGCGTGGACGGGCCGCTCTACTTCCCCAACGCCAACTACGTGCGCGAGAAGGTGCTCTCGCTCGCCGACGCGTACAAGGACGACCACAACGGCGACAGCATCACGGTATGTTGCCCTAAACCTGGCCCGCGCCCAAGCCCACGCCCTTGGTGATTCCCCCGCCCGCCTGTTCACCTTTCTGTGTTGCCCACAGTGAGGCGCCCCTCTGTTGCCACACTAGCTCAGTGCTCACAATTCCCTCCTCATGTGGGCTCTCGCATTCTCTGAGCACTCTTCCGGCGCAGCCCTTCTCACCTCTTCCTGCCCTTGCCTCCTGCCCCCTGCCTCCAATCTCTGTGTGTGGATCCTTCTCCCCCCTGTGCAGCATTTCGTGTTGGACTTTACGCCCGTGGCCGACATAGACACGACGGGCACGCACGCACTGCAGGAGCTGCATGGGCTGCTGTCCAAGCAGGGCGTGCAGCTCGGCATCAGCAACCCCTCGCGCATGGTGCTGCGCAAACTCGTCGCCTCGGGGTTTCTAGAGGTGCTGGGGGAGGAGTGGCTGTTCCTCTCGGCGCATGAAGCCGTCAAGTCGTGCAGAACATTTAGACTATCTATTAAGGATGTTTGAACAGGATTGCAAGCTGAGTGGTAGATACAACTGCAGCTGATTGCAAGATGCATGGTAGACATATCATTGCCAGCTGCAGTCTGCTAGCTTGTAAAGTACCGTATATACGCTAAAAAAGGTTCTGAAAAGTTACGTAGTCGCAGCACGGAAAGATTGTGCTCGCCATGTCATTCAATGAGTCGACATTGGGAGGCAGGCGTCCCATGGCCTACTTCATTGAAAAAACAACAAGGCAGAAATTTGTACGGCATTTATTAGTATGATGCGATCAGAACACACAAACGCATGCAGCAATTGTACGCAATGCAAGTGAAAGGCCATTAGTCAAACCGAAATTGGAAGGCATGTACGGAACATGTTCGAGCAAGTACCATGGTATGCAGGGCATGTGGAGGGGCATGTGTCAGAATATAATGCTTGTCTAGTCTGTAGTGGGGTACTCAATAGTGAGTATAACCCTTTGGGCTTGCTTTTTGTACCTCCCTCCTTTCTAGTTCAAACCTCTTTTGCCTATCCTCTTTTTAGCCTAACTAGCTAAACCCTAGTTATGGCTCCTCCATTGTAGCTACTATTTCAGCATGGTATCAGAGCTGTTACGCTCTTGGCCTGTGGGCCCCACGTGCTTCCGCTGCTTTCCTGTCCGTCGCGCGCCCCGTGGCGCACGACACTTTTTTTCTTCCCGCCACGCGCTCGGGGCGCATGGCGGTTTTCTGCCTGCCGTGCGCCCCGAGGCGCATGGCGGCTTCCTGCTTAACGCGTCGCCCCGAGGCGCGTGGCGGCTTCCTGCTTAACGCGTCGCCCCGGGGATCCGCGCGTTCCCCCCTTCGACGGTCGCGTCGCCCCCCGGGAGCCCGTCGCGTCGCCCCGCAACCCGCGCGCGGTGTCTAACATATATGCTGCATATTGTCTAGGCTGTAGTGGGGTAGCCCATATGGGGTACAGCCCAATTAGGGTTTACTACTTGTACTCCTGCATGCTGCTAGTTCATCCATTCCTGCTGCTAGATTCTGACATGGTTTCAGAGCACTAAGGTCCGTAGGACCGTTTTTTTTCGGGCCCACCTACCGCTGCGGTTACCGCGCTA